TAGATAATTCATTAAAAAAAACATCTCTACTGATTACAAATTTTGGGGATTTGGGATCAGAACACCATAATCTGTATCCTTTCACCCCAGATGCATACCCAAGGAAAATACACTTTTTCGCTCGAGGCTCTAATTTTCCTTCATTTATATGCATATATGTTGGATACCCAAAAATTTTTAAATCAGAGTAATCAGCAGGAGTACATGACCAAACTTCCTCTGGAGTTTTAAAGTTAAGTGCTGCAGAAGGAGCGCGGTTGACAACGTAACAGGCCATATTAATCGCCTCTGCCCAAAAGTCCTTTGTCAACCCTGCATTTGAGATCATACACCTTGCTCTCTCCAAGAGTGTTCTGTTCATACGTTCGGTCACACCATTTTGCTGAGGCGTCATCCTAACAGTGCGATGCCAAACAATTCCTTCATTTTTGCAGAATTCATTAAAGTCATGTTCACAAAATTTTATGTCATTATCTGTTCGAAGCCGCTTAATCTGTTTACCTGTTTGTTTCTCAATCAAAGCCTTCCATTGTTTAAAGGTTAGAAAAATATTATTTTTATGCTTTAAAAAATAAACCCAAACTTTCCTGTAATAATCGTCAATGAAAGTCAACATATACCTAGCACCACCCTTAGACTGAACATGAGCTGGACCCCAAAGGTCTGAATGAATATAGTCAAGAGTACCTTTCGTTTTGTGAACTGTCAGATAATTGAAGCTGACTCTTTTCTGCTTTCCAAAAATGCAGTGTTCACAAAAATCCAGTGGCCCAGTACTCTGTCCATAAAGTAGACCCCTTTTGCTCAATATGCTCAAACCTTTTTCGCTCATATGACCCAAACGCATATGCCATAATTTGGTGATGTCAGAATCAGACAATGATGATGACGAGACTGCAACGGAGCCTGTGATAGTAGTTCCTTGCAAAATATATAAGCTACCAGACCTACAAGCTTTCATAACAACAAGGGCACTTCTAGAAACTTTCATAACTCCACCTTCAGCTGTGTATTTACACCCAAGGGCCTCTAGGGTGCCTAAAGAGATGAGATTCTTTTTTAAATCAGGAACATGTCTAACATTAGTGAGCATCCTCACAATACCATCATGCATTTTAATTCGGATTGTTCCTCTACTAACAACATCACATGCTGCATTATTGCTCATCAAAACAATTCCACCATTACAAGATTCATATGTGGAAAACAAATCTCTATTAGGACACATGTGATAAGAACAACCCGAATCTAAAATCCATTCATTTTTAGACCTCGTCCTGTCATCAGTAGCAAAGAAAATATTTCCATCATTCTCATCAGTTGCTACACTAGCTTCAGCAGACTCAGTAATTTTCTCAACAATTTTTTTCTTTTGCTTTAATTTATTTTTCAATTTAAAGCAATCAACCTTAATGTGTCTCATTTTATGATAATATCTGCATTCCAAATTTCTATGTCTGGATTTAGATCTAGATTTAGATCTACTACTGTCAAATTCCCTTTTATCTGTTCTCCCCCTAACAACCAGACCTTCAGCCTGATTCTCTCTACTTTCCCCAGTGATATCCCTGTCTATCTGCTCTTTAGATTTTAGTGCAGATTTAATTTCTTGATATGAAATTGTTTCTTTTCCATAAATCATAGTATCACGGAAATGCTTAAAAGATTGGGGAAAATAATACAAAAGTAACAGGGCCTTATCCTCATCATCAATTTTTGCATCTATATTCTCCAAATTCATAACCAAGGAATCAAACTTATCAAGATGTGAGAGTATAAATGTACCTTCAATCATCCGAAGCATATACAAACTCTGCTTTAAGTAGAGACGATTCTCTACTATCCTCTTAATATACAAGGCTTTAAGCTTGTCCCACATGCACCAATCACGTGAGTGATGGCACGTATGGCAAGATCTTCCTTTGACGTACCATCTGGCATGTCGGTCAATTAACCTTGACCTACATCCACGGACGAAAGATGAGCAAATCACTACTATAAAATGAGACTATTACAAATGCCTTAGGAAGATGTTCCTATGCCATAAAACACCCGAAAATACTAAACAAGAAAAACCCAAACTATAAGCCCAAACTATTTAACTGAGTGTGGACTTAAACCCAAAGCAAACACTTAGGTTTTTCTTGTGGTGCCACTTGTGGTATATTTGACTTCAAAGCCCAGACCCTTATTTATAGTTCCAATAGGAGATAACAAGCATGTTTTTCCCAATGTGGGACTATGAGACTTGCCAAACTAACATAGATCCTAAATACCAACTGATTATGAAATTAGTAATGGTTCATGTTTTCCCATTATTAGCACATACCATATAGAATTCATTACAATAATTCTCCTAGTATGATTATGATACCAAACTGGCACTGAGATATCCATGCATCACTGCTTGCAAAAGTTACTGAAAAATATTATTACAAATAAGACCTTTCAAGGCTCTTTTCTCATGCAATTAATCGTCTTACACGATAAGAGAACATAGTTTTCATCTGAGCTGTGGCAGAAGATGCTTGGATAGGAGCACATGCTATAACTTTGCAATTTTTCTCTCTACTTCCTGGGCATAAGATGGTTTTCTGTTTTGGCTTTCTTTACCAGGCTGAGGCTGATGGTTCAAATGAGTACAACAACTTCCAGCCTGGCTCTCTTAACACTACTTATCAGCTTATCAAGGACCTAAAGAATATTGACATAGTTCTCCACATTGGTGATATCTGCTATGCAAATGGTTATATCTCACAGTGGGACCAATTTACCTCACAGATTGAACCTATTGCTTCAGCTTTGCCTTATATGATTGGAAGGTTAGTTCTATAAGTTACTTGTATCACCATGAAAACTGGAAATGACAATGTTTCATCCTCATCTTGCAGAGGTAACCATGAACGGGACTGGCCCGGGACAGGATCATTCTATCAGAATACAGATTCAGGTGGAGAATGTGGTGTACTGTCTGAAACTATGTTTTATGTTCCTGCCGAAAACAGAGCAAAGCTTTGGTATCACTCTGCAGACATATACTAATTTTTGTTCCCTTATGACAGCTATTGTTTGCATCATACGGTTTGAATTTGTGTATGAATTAATTGCCATCCACTTTACTTAAGTGTGGTGTTCTACATCAAATAACAAAATCGAGTTTTTGTTGAAAGGTCTTGATGTTGGATTTCTTACTCAGTGGCATGCACTATTCCTTTCTAATTTTCCATCCTATTCTAAAGCTTAATTGTTCTTAACTTAGATATGCCATCTCATAAGTTCTCCAGCTAACAGTATGCATCAGTAAGCATAAAATGAATTACTTATGTTGGGGATTTAGTTTTTTCTACTATTTTTGCTGATTTGAGCAAGGCAGATTATTGAACTCGTGTTTTTATCTCCCTTAGTCTCCTATGATGCAATCTAAAAGTCTTTTACTGTGTTTTCAGGCATTCGATCGATTATGGCATGTTCCACTTCTGTATAGCTGATATTGAACTCGTGCTTTTATCTCGCTGAGTCTCCTAGGATGCAATCTAAAAGCCTTTTAACTGTGTTTCCAGGTATTCGACCGATTATGGCATGTTCCACTTTTGTATAGCTGACACTGAGCATGACTGGAGACCAGGAACCGAGCAATACAGCTTCATCGAACATTGCTTGTCAACAGTTGATAGACAGAAACAACCATGGTTGATCTTCCTTGCTCACCGGGTTCTTGGTTACTCTTCTGCCGATTTCTATGGTGATGAAGGAACATCTGAGGAGCCTATGGGAAGAGAAAGCCTTCAAGAACTCTGGCAGAAGTACAAGGTTGACATTGCCTTTTTTGGACATGTACACAACTATGAAAGAACATGCCCAGTCTATCAGGTACACATCTTACAACCAGTCCTTCGACATCAAATATACGTTACGAGTTCTATCAGACGAACACCAAGAGCATGTTCTTGTCTGTTGCAGAACACCTGCATACGGAACGGATCGAACTATTACAGTGGCCCCTTCGAAGCAACCACACATGTAGTTGTCGGAGGTGGAGGTGCCAGCCTTGCTGACTTCACCACGGTCCGAGCGAGATGGAGTTACTATCAAGACCATGACTACGGGTTCGTAAAGCTCACAGCCTTCAACCATTCGATGCTGCTACTCGAGTACAAAAGGAGCAGCGATGGAAGGGTCTACGATCACTTCATCATCTCCCGGGATTACCGTGATGTTCTCGGTTGTGCCGTTGACAGTTGCTCAAGAACAACCCTGGCTTCTTGAACATGGCCACTGAGGCTGCATCGATCTCCATGGAGGAAAAGTCATCTGTTATTATGGTTGATACTCATTTATGTCGCATGTTGATCGATTCTTCTGTGGTGATTCAGAATACGTATTGTTCTGGGAAACAGAAATCTCAGAGTAAGGATTTGGTAGATGCGAACTTTCACCGTCTGCCTCTTTAGCTTGCGTCCACTAGCACTCAATCTGGGAATCTCGATGATACGATGAGATTAACGCTTTTAGAGTCTCTTTCAAGCACTCCATTCTTGGTGAATGAAATGTCAACCCAACCACATAAGAAGATTTAGCTCGTGTTAAACATTATCGCCTCTACCATGGAAAATGAGTCTGATACATCACTATCGGATCAATCGCCAATATCTAACCATAAAATTCAATACCATCAATATTTGATGTGTTATCCGATATGTCACTACCATACCAATCCATTATCAATGTTGGATCAAGATTTAGTATTATACTCCAAATTGCATCAATCAAGCCAGAGGCAGTCAGGCAGGAAAGAAGAAACCAACATTCAATTTGCAGCAGCTTCTTCTCCAGCTATCAATTTTGTGCATTTAGAGACGCAGCTAAGGAACTCCTTTGTGGTACTCTTTGCAATCTGCATTACTTGTATTACTTGGATCATCCCAGCTCCAAAAACTCAGTTAATGCTAACCAAATGATTACGACAAGCTCCGGTGAGCAAAATAGAACGAGCCAAGAGAGAGTAGAACTCATAGATGAGCCGCAAAGGCCAAGTAATTATCCATAATCTCCCAGTAGCAAACACCTTCATCACCTTAAGAAGCAAGGTAGGAAGAGAAAAAAAGAGAATCACAACTATGAAGTGCATGTGCAATTTCTCATTCATCTTTAGTAGAAAACTGGCCCAAACTCTAGTAGGAGACGAAGAGAAATGCACTCTTCCATGGAAGAAAAGAGAAGAAAAGATATTATGATGAGGTTGCGGACGGAGAGGGATTGACGACGATGTGCCTCAGAGGGTGGGAAACATCACCACCCCCAGCATGCTTGACAAACTCGGCCGGGGTGAGGAAGGTGCCATGGCAGACACACACTATCCTTACCTCTTCTCCCTTCCTGTATTTGTAGAGGAATCCCTCGATCTTTCTCCCATTTGGACCATCTCCCCTGGTGGAAACACATGGCATCTCACCCACCATGTTCCTCCCTCGATTCACACCATCAGTTGCAAAGTTCTTCAATGAGTCTTCCTCTCCAACAACAGTAATAGGTTTCCTGACTTCCAAAGTAGAAGTCGAACTTGTGGCATTACGAATAGAATCTGAATGAGCTGAAGAGGCGTTCTTCGTATCATCTATGTCACGAATAAAAAGAGACAGATCGAACCCTGCAACCAAAAAGAAAAAAGCAGGAGTCATAAGCTTCTTCTTTTTACCTTCCTTTTCTTAACTTCTAAGAAAGTTTAGAATATTGGCAACTACAACTGGAACATTGACATGAAGTGAAGACTTGTTTTGCTTCCAAAACTATTCGAAGAAGTAATTAAATAAAGAACAAACACCTAAACAGTTGAAAGAACAGTGTTAATTCTTTAAAATCCAATTCTTTCTGTCTTTTTAAGAGAAACTGATATTCACTCTTCTGGTAAGATTAAGCAGTAACAATAGTTGAATAACTTCAATGACTACAATCATAGTTAGAGATGATAATATAGCCACATTTTTTCAGAAAAAGGAAGGAAAATACTATAAGAAACATCCTAACAAAGCGCAAATATCATACTACAAGTGATACATCTGATGATTCTATTGTCGCTAACAATGAAGCACCGGAGGTGAATCTACAATGCAAAGATGAAACTCATCATTACTTCTCATGATTTGAGATATCCTCAAACAATGACATGCGAGTCTATGACAAAAAGCAAAACTTATCCTTGCTACTCACTATTTGAAGTATCTTTGAACTATAATATGCTTTTGAACTTATAAAAAGCGAGACGGATAACATCTACAGTAACAATTACAACAAATAAATTATTGTGGCACCGCCTCAGCGACCCGCATCTTGGAAAATGTTTACTACCCAACATCGATGGAAAAGAAACATTGACAACACACGAATTAAGCAGCACCATTCTTGCAACATTACAGGAAAAACAAACCAGAAAAGTGTTCTTCGCCTGTCGAGGATACATGATATACTCCAACTCCAATCATTTCTACCTCAAGAAAGAAAATATCACTAGCTTATACAATTCTACCTACTGATAAGCATAACCCAAAAAAAAAAAAAAAAAGAACTCAAACTTTTAGTTTTTGCATTTTTTTCAATAGATATCATTCATGATCTAACCAAAATTCTCAACAAGAATGCAGTACCTTGGGCTGGCGTCTTCCTCTTGAATTCAAACACGCCGTAGGAACTGCCGCTGGCCCGAACAGAGCCATGTGGGATTGGTGGCAAACACCCTGTCACATCTACCGGTGGTGATGCAGCCGTGCTTTTAGACCCTGCCGCCCATGCAAGTAGCTCGGAAGGAGTAGCAGCACCGAACACTCCTCGGAATTCTTTCCCCTTCAGAGGCTTGAGGCGGCCATTGATCATATTTGGCGTTATCAAGCTTTTCCTTCCATCCGCATCCTCATCTGATCTCGAAGCGTCTGGTTTGATGCAATTTCTCTTCTCCAACCTCTTCCTCTTCGCCTCGAACCTCTTCAGGCTCTGCAGCTCCTTCCGCTTCCTCCTCTCCTCCTCCGTCTCAGCCGGCAACGAGTTCGTCCTCACGAGGGCCGTGGTCATCACAGGGAACTCGTGCTCCCTCTGCGGTGAGGAGAAGGCGGCGATGGACGACGACCGAACCAGCTTCTTGGCCTTCGAGTCCGTTCCGAAGCATCCGCCTAGGGAGAGGCCGAGGTTGAGCTCGACCTCGCCGGACTCCCGTCCTGGCACCTCAAGCTGCTCGCCAAAGCAGCTGTTTCCGTCCAATCTGCGGAGCAAGTCTCTCGGAAATCTGTCGATAACCGACGAGGGTAGCTCCCTCTCCCGCTCCGCTGCCTCTTCTTCCATTTGAGGATCAACAAACGAACCGTAGATCAAAAGAACAGATAAGTATCACAAATTTCGACCAAAAAGCTACCTTTTCTCTCAAAGGTTTGATCTTTTTTTCCGACCTACTCGAAACCCGAAACGTGGATTCCTATAGCATTCAAATTCTAAAGAAAAAAGTACACAGATAAATCGCAAAAAAAGAGCAGAGGAGACATGAGGGACAATGAGATATCAAATAAAAAGGAACAAAAACAAAAAAGAAGCAATCTTTGAGCTTCCTAAGAGCTAAAAATCATCATAAAAATAAAATAGAACGCGCAAAAAAGAGGAAGTCTATGAAAACATCAAGGCCGAGATTCCATTTAAATTAAACAGCGAAGAAGAAGAGGAACGGAGAAGGGGACGGAGAGCTTTCTCCTGTTACCTGTCGGCGTTCCGTGCCCTGGAGATTGGGCAATGACCAGAATGCCCCTACTCGTGGGGTGGGGGGAGCCCTGTCGAGGATACGCGACCACAACGTAGGAGGAGAGAGACGATGGGGAGCCGAGGGCCGCGTCATCGCGAATCGAGCGGCGCCGCGCCCCTCGGCTCGCGCGTGAGCCGATGGCGTGGCCTTCCTGCTGTCCGAAGCACACGTGTTGCGGAGCAAAAGCACGTGACATCGAAACGTGTCGAACTGCCATCCGACCGGCGAAGGTAAGGTCGCTGTCTTGGCCAATCCAGCTGTCACACTCAGACAGCGACCTTACGGTGGAAAGCGGATCCGTTATGGAAAAAGAATTTGGTACCCGTTACCAGCAGCAGATCCGGTCTACATGGCTACGGCATATCCGTTCTCACCCTAGAGACAATTTTTTCCTGAAAATAAATTTTAGGCTATATGATCGATTGCTTTTTAAGTTTTGTTTACAGAATTATTTTTTATTTATATATTTTTAAAGTTGATATCATTCTAGAATGTTGTAATTAGAAAATGGGAATAAATTAATAGTACCGATGCAAAAAGAGATTGAGAGACCAAAGATGACTACCGAAAACAATAAAAAATAAATATTCTTAATCTAATATCTTTATACAAATAATAGGGCCTAAATAATCGGGACATTGTCCGATTTAGTCATGTTGTGTATAAAAAAAAAAAATCAATGCGGCTTTTTATAAACAAAGGTGCCACGTAGGCAAGGCACCAGCACCTACTAGATATAGTAATTAAATTTGGTGGAGATGAGGGAGGACCTTAAATAAAATGTTGGAAGTGAGGAAAGAATGATGCACAGATAAATAATCAGAAGACTATTTTAGATATATTATTGATTCTTTTATCAATATGAAAACACAATATACTAGATATAGTTAAACTTTTTTCTTGATTTAATGTAGAAACATCTAATTCTATCTAGTATGGAACCCGATCCACATCCTTATACAGAAATTATTTGATAAAAAATTTGGATACGAATATGAACACAGAGAATGTGTTATATTATATAATTCATTTGGCCTCCCACTACCAGCAATTCGGTGGCAAACGGCATTGTTTTGCACCGTCGCATCGCAGCACATGGTTTTTTGTCGAGAGTCCCTCACGTGCAATTTGCAAGTGTAGAAGACTGGTTTTGTCCAACAAAAAAGATGAAATCCATGGAAGACGTCGACATAAAGATTTGACCAGTGCTCAATCTTATTTTTTTTGGGATGATGTGATCTCACACTGTTCTTTTAAGCTATTCTGATAACAAGAACTGAAGGTAAAAAAAAAAGAAAAAGAAAAAATCAATCGATATCTCATCAATAACTGCGAAATGGAATTATTGATGATATGTTTAAACTTTTATTTGTATGAGAACCAACCTTAGAATGCGCTTTCATAAGCGCCAAAGAGCCACATCTCCATGTCACGCCCACGTATCCTCCTCGATTATACCAGCAACTACTCTGTCGTATGGGAATAAGATGCATGCATTTTCAGCAATCAAAGGAATAAAATACTCTGAAAGGTACTCCAAATAGTAAAACGTAACATTTTGTTAATGGAATAGTAATTCTGGTGATCTTAAATCTGTTTGATTTACATCAAAGAAAATTTTGATTTCAGACTATTTGACACAAACAATAGAAAGTCATACAGAGCACTGAATGAAAAAGTTAAACACCTCGTCATAAAAACATAGAAATGCTTATTGCTCCAGAAATGCCATATTTTCTCTACAGTAATATAAATCTCGTGCAGAGAGAGTTCAACGTTTGATAGTAAGGTCATGAGAATGAATATTGAATATTGACTATTGAATATGGTCTTCACCATTGCATATCATGGAAGTCAAATGCTTGTCAAGTAATCCAAAGCTGTTCATAAACTAGAATTAAGCACTGGAATTTGGAAACCAATTTCCAAATAATAAGATATTTGCAAACATTAGTAGAAATTTGAAAATTCTTATTAATAAAGTTCCCACCACCTAAAAGCAGTAAACAAAGTGTGAAAGAACATGCATTCCACTGAATTTTTTGATTTGTTATATGAAAATGTCATTGAATAATATGACAGGACTTGCTTGAAAAGGAAAAAGACTAAATCACTAGTCGACTTGCTTGAAAAGGAGCTGCAGTTGGCAGTACCATGCCACACAGTAGGAATAAACAAACAAAAATTGAACAACAACAAAAAGAAAAGCCTTTGAAGGTAGTACACATTCTTATTGGTGATGCATTGGCATTGGACCCCGGAAACAAGGCAAATAATGGATTACTTGGGAAATGAAAGAAACAGAGTGATGAAAAAGAATTGTTCCCTGGTGAGAAAAAAACACTAAGGTGCATCAAAGACCATACCACATGCAGCACTATGTTGAACATGTCTCTTCGAAGTCTTACTCAGTGGACATTGGACAAGAAGAACAAAAGCTATGTAAGCAAAATAAAATAAGCTTAAACTGAAAATATTGATTCTCAAGCATAACCAGAGAGAGGCGTGCCATGGGGTCGAGAGGCATGTCTTGGTCCGAATGACGTGATTGTGTTGGCTGCTTATGCGGGGAAGCTGGAATGACTCATCGGGGGACGATTTAGAGGGGCAGTGCCCCATGATGTCACGGACAAACTTCGAAACAAGATGTTTGATGTAATGCTTATGTATGTCCGTATCTTTTGGTATATTCATGCTTTGTACAGCATGTAGAGGGACGACCGAAGGCTTAATAGTCTCATTTTAGTTAGGTTGGTGGCCGCTTTAGGCTTGTAAATAAAGATCGTGTCATGTGGACACGTGTGAGAGATTGTCGATCTATAATGGACCATTTTACCCTTTGTTGTGCAACTGTTCAGAGCTTATAAAGTCTGTTTGTAATTTGCATTGTCTATGCAGTGTTTTCAGAGATGTTTGCTTGTGGATCCCGAATGAGGCGTTTTCTTTAACCCGTTTCTCTCTTTTGGGGGTCCTAAGGGACATGAGAGGCTTCGGGGAGGCTGACCTTTGCGGACGGACACGCAAGGGTGCCGCACGACTTAGGCAAAACCAGCTAAGTCTGTGACAGATGGTATCAGAGCGGGACAAGCACTCATAGAAACACTTAGCATGCAAACGTGGGGAACCTAGCGGGGCTGCGTTGAGGGCAGTCAGCACACGCACGACCGTTTGGGGGGAAAACGGGCATGGAGATGTAGGGAAAAGGAGTCGCTCGGAGGAGCGGGCATTTGACATTGGCATTCAGAGGAATGACCAACCCTTCGCGCAAGAGGCACCACGAGAATAGGCAAGCTTGGAAGAATGCGGAGCACATAAAGGTTGGGATGGCTGAGTTTGAGCTATGGCTCAACGTTGACAACTATACTTGATGATGCTTAAGGCAAGCGAGGCGCTTGGTAAAGGATGAGACCATGCAAGGTGGAATGAGTTGCTCAATGACCAAAAGAGTTATGCAAAGCTCACAGAGGTGAGGGGAATTGCTAGCTCAAAGAATTTGGTACTCATGCATGGGCTTATATGCGGACGATGGAATGTTCGTGGCCATCCCAAGGCGATCGAAACTCGGCGTCATGGAGCATTGAAACTTTCTCTTCGGCATGTGAAGGATACGTCCGTAGGAGGCTGAAGTATGCAATGAGTTCAGCATGTTGCTAGGCCTTGAGTGGTGCAACGGGGGTTGCATTGACGTGGAGTCGCAATCTAGCAAGTGCGTTTGCAGGAGGCAGAACAATGCATAGTTTGTTCAGCAGATCGGAGTAGTCCAAGGGGATGGTGGTCTCCGAAACGAAAAGAGATGTTGCTCCAACGGGACAGTTATCCAGGAGGGATAAGTCCCGGCTCTCCAAAGGGAGAATCATGTGGGACGGACCTCACAAGTTGAGGAGTACCTCAACAAACAACAACTCCACGAAGCTCAATGGACTGAGCAAGCGGCGAGGAGTCGTCGCATGATCTCGCTCGAGAGAATGCATTGGTAGATGCATTGCGAGATCAAGTGGGGGAGCGACCCAAAGCAACTCAAACGAAGGCACACTTGGAGTTGATATGGAGATCGAACTCAAGGGAAGGCTGACTCGTGGAATGGTGGGCGCGAGGGCCATCATTGACTCAATGCAAAAACGAGGAGCGGAGCAACTAGGGTGTAACTTGGCGAAGTACCCAAGCCGCATGAAGGGAGCCAGGATAGAAGTTGGAACATGGAGCAGAGGCACAGTGCTTTATTTAGACAGAGGTCAAGGACATGAACTCTTGTAGAGGCAAGAGTAGGATCATGTTGTTCCATAGGTCCTTCATTCTGACGGAGCAGACTCATCTTGCATGGTGCCAAAGACGAAGGGAGCTTATGGGCACATGCACCTTATCTCGGAAAAGCATTTGATGGAGGAAATAAGGCGACTCAATTTGCGGAGGCGAAATTGGGTTCAGAAGGCCTTAGCACGGGGCAAGAGGACGCAGAGGCGGGTACTCTTAAAGAATATGCCATAGTGTTGCAAATCAAGTTGCTAGGCAGGAAGAGGTGCGCAATGGAGATTGTGCTGGTAGGGGCAGAGGCCCAGGATCCAGACAATGGGGCACTAATTGCAGTGAAGTCGGGGGACTTCGGGAGCTACTAGGCGACAGACTGTCCTAGAGCGGTGCTTCAACTAGGTGCGACCCAAGAGTGGGTGAATAAAGGCCGATTGCCAAAGGAGCGAACAAAATCGAAGGTGGAAGAGACCCTGCGATGTATTGGCAGAGGCCACACATGAAGGGTTCACAATTCGAGTTCATCCCACAAGGATCAGAATGCAATAGAGATGTCACCAGGAGGCGACATGGTGCATCGGATCGTGGTGGAACAGTTCATGGCAATGCGATACACACAATCTAGTCCCGCGAGGGACTAGATCATATGGAGGTATGATCGGGAGCTATTGGAAGCTCCACTTCGGTGAAGAACACGACGAT